GCAGGGCGGGACGACTTTATTCGCGCGCCGTGGCCCGATGATGGCCGCTGCCCGAGCGCCGGCTTCGCCGCCCGGTGACCCTATAGGATTTTCGTGCGACGCCGAGCACGGCCCCTCACTGGCGAGCCGCGCCGCCCCTGCCCAGTCCGAGGGCAGCCGGCCGGGGCCCAGAGGGTGCCCCTCCAACCCCGCAGGGCGGGACGACTTTATTCGCGCGCCGTGGCCGGTCACAGCCCGACACCCGAGCGCCGCCTTCGCCGCCCGGCGACCCTATCGGATTTTCGTGCGACACCGAGCACGGCCCATCTCTCCCGAGCCGCGCCTGGTCCACCCAGTCCGAGGGCAGCCAGCCAGGGCCCAGAGGGTGCTGCTCCCATCCCGCAGGGCGGGACGACTTTATTCGCGCGCCGTGGCCGGTCACGGCCCGACGCCCGGGCGCCGACTTCTCCGCCCGGCGACCCTACCCCGGATTTTCGTGGCCCCACCGCCTCTAGAGTTTTCCCGGCGTTGCAACGGCAGGTGCCGAAAGGACCGGACCGTCCCCATCATGCCTGGGGACCCAGGCCGCGGTCGAATGCACATCTTCCCCAGGCTGCCGCCACGGCGCATTGCTGGCTGCCTCGAGGGCGCAGAGCTCGATGCCGCACGGGCGGAATGGCATGCTATGGACAAGACCGACGAGCGGGAGGCGATGCGCCGCGCCCGCAACCTTTTTATGAGTCGCTCAGCGCTGCATCGCGAGGGTGACTCCGCACGCCGAGCCAAGGCGCGGCGCGAGAAGAGAGACAGAGAGAGAGCTTTTAGCAATAACAATTTAAAATCTTGCCGCACACGCCTCCTGCGTCTACTTGGGTTTGTCCGCGACACATCGCGGGAGATACACGCCCCCTCTGCGCGGCACGGGGTGCCCATCGAATATCACCCCCACACCCCCGCCGGCCCGCCGGGGCGTAAATTCCACCATTGCACCAAAGACTTTTTACTCGTGAGTTGGCGTCTGAGTACTGAGAGACAGCTGGTCTGACAGTGCCCAACAGCCCGACAGACGAGATCACCTGACAGCACCTGACAGCCTGTGACAGCCAGGGCTCAGCATCTCACAGTAGCGAGGTGTCCGTTTTATTGTTTATTTGATATTTCCGAAGGTATAGTTGCCGGTAACTCGAGGACAGCAAGCTCCGCGCCTACGCCCTATCGAAGCCCCTACACCGCCGCCCCCTCCCCACATCACATCTTCAGCCCGTTGAAGACGCCATTCTTCGCATTGCCGTCCTTGTCGCTCTCGACAATCTCAACCACCTTGTTGCTCGCCTTGCTGTCAAAGAGCGCGGCGACGCTCACGTCGGCGACGAGGTCGCGCGAGATCTCGCCCGAGTTGAGCGTGTTCTCGCCGCTGACGAAGAGCGCGCCCGTCGGCGGGTCCGCCTTGAGCCCGCCCGGGCGCACAATCGTCCAGTCCATGCCCGACTTGCGCAGGTACTGCTCCGCCACCAGCTTCTCCTCGAGCACGTTGCCAAAGGCGTTGGTGATCTTGTAGCCGGCCGAGTCGAGCTGCCTGCGGACAGGCACAGAGCTGTCAGCGAGGCACGGAGCTCGCTCAGGCAGCGGTGCAGCGTGCTGCTGCTGTGCTGTCGTGCGGCCGCTGCTGTGATAATGTTCCGCGGTGCACAAGGACAGAGGCACGCACCCCCACGCGCCGGCGTCGGTGAGGATCGACGAGACGAGCACCACCTTCTTCACGCCCGCCACCTTGGCCGCATCGATCAGCTTCACCGTCCCGACGTTGTCCACAGCGTGCGCCGCGTCGTTCATCTTGAAGGGGTTGCCGGGGACGAATCCAACGGCGATTACCAAGCCGTCTGCGCCCTTCAGCGTGCCCGCCATGTCGTCGACACTCGCCTTCTCCACGTCGAGCGGCGCGAGGCTCACCGCACTCGCGTCGATCGCGGCGCCCTTCTCGATCATCGCGCCGCGCACCTCAATCTTGGACTCGGACAGCTTCTTCGCCGCCTTTGCCGGGTCACGCACTCCTCCCACCGCTGTCACGCCGCTAGTCTTGGTGAGCAGCTGCAGGCAGCGCCGGCCGGTCTGTCCCGTCGCGCCGGCCACCACCACGGTCTTCATGTCTGCAGCGTACGTCGGGAGCGGCCCTCCGCAGAGCGCAGACGTGGTTGCCGCGAGAGCCGCGGCGCCGCCCGCGATCGCCTCGCGGCGGTCAATCGCGAGGGCAGGCGAGCCGAGCCGCACGGCAGCGGCGGCGGGGCGCGATGCGTGCGCCATCGGCGCGGCGGTGAAGCCAAGGCAGGAGTGTAGCGCGAGCCACATACAAATGATCAGTGTGTGTGAGCGGTGTGTGTGTCGATGTGTCGGCAGCGCAGTCAAGTGCGAAGCTCAATGCAGCCCGCTGTGCTTTCTTTTTCCCTCCAACCTCCTGCTAATAGCTTCCGTTTGCCCCGTTTTAGGAGAGTAGACTCCTGCCGTGAAGGAGTGTAGACTCCGTGAAGGAGAGTAGACTTAGACTGGCCGTGAAGGAGTGTAGACTGCTGCCAGCACAGTTGTTTTTCTCCTTCCACCCACACCGCTGTCACGGGCGGCAACGCCCCCGATGCCGCAGCCCGTCACCTCCTACTACTGCCCCGGCAGCCTCGACACCTCCGCCATCTTCGCCATCTTCATCGCCAGCCTGCGCGCCGTCTCGTGCGCCGGCGCAATTGTCGTCGCGGGCTTGTGGATGGCGAGGCGCGGCGTGCTGACTCGCGGGCTCTCCAAGGGCCTGTCCCAGTTCTCGGTCAAGCTGGCCATCCCGTGCCTCCTCTTCACCTCGGTGGTGCCCGGCGTGAGCCCCTCGCTGCTCGCGTACGGCTGGCCGCTGCTGCTCCTTCCCGCCGTCTACCTCCTGCTCGGCACGCTGCTCGGGCAGCCACGCCCCCGGCGGCGGCGGCGCTCCCGGCGCTCCGTGACGCGTCCGCGCGCCTCCGTAGGCTCCTGCTGCTCGTCGTCCTGCGGCCACCCAGCGACTTTCGGCTCGGCACGGTGGCCGCCTGCGCCTTTTACAACACAACGTCGATTCCAATCATCCTGCTGTCGGTGCTGCAGCAGACGCTCTCGCGCTCCATCTTCGCGGAGCTCGCCTCGCCGCTCCTCTTCCTCTCCCTCCAGCTGCTCACCTACCCGCTGCTGCAGTGGCTCTCCTCCGTCGCTCTCATCGAGGCCTACGCCCACTTCGCTCCACGCCACTCCCTCGCCGCT